AATGACTCCAAGATCTCTTTTTTGAGTGGTAACAGCTAGTTTAGACTCCATCATTTTATATGTATAGTTGGATTATGTTTTCCAATGTTCATTACTTTGCATTTATCAACATTGAATTTAATTTGCCATTTTGTTGCCCAGTCACCCAGGTTTTGTGAGATCCCTTTGTAGCTCTTCACGGCTTTGGATGTAACTATCTTGAGTAGTTTTGTTTCAGCTGCAAATTTTACAACCTCGCTGTTTGCCCCTTTGTCCAGATCATTTATGAATATGTTGAATAGGACTGGTCCCAGTACAGACCCCTGGGGGGGACTATCCTTCTCCATTCTGAAAACTGACCATTTATTCCTACCCTTTGTTTCCTATCTTTTAACCAGTTGCTGATCCATGAGAGGATCTTTCTTCTTATCACATGACAGCTTACTTTACTTAAGAGTCTTTGATGAGGAACCTTGTCAAAAGCTCTAAGTACACTATATCCACTGGATCACCATTGTCAACATGCTTCTTAACCCCCTCAAAGAATTCTAGTAGATTGGTGAGGCACGATTTCCCTTTACGAAAACCGTGTTCATCTGTGTGGCTGACAATTCTGTTCTTTACTATAGTTTCAACCAGTTTGCCCAGTACTGAAGTCAGGCTTACTGGCCTGTAATTGCCGGGATCACCTCTGGAGCCCTTTTTAAAAAATTGTCGTCACATTAGGTATACTGCAGTCATCTGGTATAGAAGCTGAGTTAAATGAAAGTTACATATGACAGTTTGCAGTTCTGCAGTTTCAGATTTGAGTTCCTTCAGAACTCTTGGGTGAATACCATCTGGTCCTGGTGACTTCTTATTAGTTTATCAATTTGTTCCAAAACCCCCTCTAATGACACCTCAGTCTGAGACAGTTCATCAGATTTGTCACCTAAAAAGAATGGCTCAAGTGTTGAAATCTCCCTCGCACCCTCAGACGTGAAGATGAATGCAAAGAATTCATTTAGTTTCTCTGCAATGGCCTTATTGTCCTTGAGTGCTCCTTTAGCATCTCAATCGTCCATCAGGCCCCACTGGTTGTTTAGCAGGTTTCCTGCTTCTGATGTACTTAAAAAAACATTTGCTGTTACTTTTTGAGTCTTTGGCTAGCTGTTCTTCAAATTCTTTTTTGGCCTTCCTAATTATATTGTTACACTTCATTTGCCAGAGTTCATGCTCCTTTCTGTTTTCCTCAATAGGATTTAACTTACTCTTTTTAAAGGATGCTTTTTGTCTCTCACTTCTTCCTTTACTTTGCTGTTTAGCTATGGTGGAACTTTTTTGGTTCTCTCTGTTTTTTATTTGGGGTATACATTTAAGTTGAGTCTCTATTATGATGTCTTTAAAATGTTTCCATGCAGCTTGCAGGGATTTCACTTTTGGCACTGTCTCTTTTAATTTCTGTTTAACTTCCTCATTTTTGTGTAGTCCCTCTTTCTGAAATTAAATGCTACCATGGTGGGCTGCTGTGCTGTTTTCCCCACCACAGGGATGTTAAATTTAATTATATTGTGGTCACTATTACCAAGCGGTTCAGCTATAGTCATCTCTTTGACCGGATCCTGTGCTCCACTTAGTACTAAATCAAGAATTGCCCCTCTCATGCATTCCAGGACTAGCTGCTCCAAGAAGCAAATATTTAAGCAGTCATTTAAGGTATCTCTGCATCCCATCCTGAGGTGACATATACCCAGTCAATATGGGGATAATTGAAATCCCCCATTTTTATTGAGTTTTTTATTTTTATAGACTCTCTAATCTCCCTGAGCATTTCACAGTTTCTAGCACCATCCTGGTCAGGTGGTCGATAGTATATCCATACTGCTATATTCTTATCATTTAAGCATGGAATTACTATCCAAAAAGTTTCTATGGTACAGTTTGCTTCATTTAAGATTCTTACTTCATTTGATTATAAGCTTTCTTTCACATATAGTGCCACTCCTCCACCAGCACAATCTGTTCTGTTCTTCCGATATATTTTGTACCCTGGTATTACTGTGTCCCATTGATTATCCTCATTCCACCAGGTTTCTGTGATGCTTATTATCATAGAATCATAGAATCATAGAATATCAGGGTTGGAAGGGACCTCAGGAGGTCATCTAGTCCAACCCCCTGCTCAAAGCAGGACCAATTCCCAACTAAATCATCCCAGCCAGGGCTTTGTCAAGCCGGGCCTTAAAAACCTCCAAAGAAAGAGACTCCACCACCTCCCTAGGTAACGCATTCCAGTGCTTCACCACCCTCCTAGTGAAAAAGTTTAATATTAATATCCTCATTTAATATGAGGCACTTTAGTTCACCCATCTTATTATTTAGACTTCTAGCATTTGTATATAAGCACTTTCAAAAATTGACACTTTTTAGCTGTTTGCCATTACATGATGTAATTGAATGGGACTTTTTTTCATTTGACTGTTTCTCATCAGAGCCTACTGGTGTTTTATGTTCCATCCCCATCAGATCCTCCCCTAAGGGATATCTCTATCTGAACCACATGTTCCTCCACACCTGTCGGCGTTCCTCCAGCCCATAGTTTAAAAACTACTCTACTACCTTTTTAATTTTAAGTGCCAGCAATCTGGTTCCATTTTGGTTTAGGTGAAGCCCATTCTTCCTGTATAGGCTCCCCTTTTCCCAAAAGTTTCCCAAGTTCCTAATAAATCGAAACCACTCCTCCCTACTATAAGGTGGTTAGAAAGCTGGCTAGATCGTCGGGCTCAACGGGTAGTGATCAATGGCTCCATGTCTAGTTGGCAGCCGGTATCAAGCTGAGTGCCCCAGGGGTCGGTCCTGGGGCCGGTTTTGTTCAATATCTTCATTAATGATCTGGAGGATGGCGTGGACTGCACTCTCAGCAAGTTTGCAGATGACACTAAACTGGGAGGAGTGGTAGATACGCTGGAGGGTGGGGATAGGATACAGAGGGACCTAGACAAATTAGAGGATTGGGCCAAAAGAAACCTGATGAGATTCAACAAGGACAAGTGCAGAGTGCTGCACTTAGGATGGAAGAATTCCATGCGCTGCTACAGGCTAGGGACCGAATGGCTAGGCAGCAGTTCTGCAGAAAAGGACCTAGGGGTTACAGTGGACAAGAACCTGGATATGAGTCAACAGTGTGCCCTTGTTGCCAAGAAGGCTAACGGCATTTTGGGCTGTATAAGTAGGGGCATTGCCAGCAGATCGAGGGACGTAATCGTTCCCCTCTATTCAACATTGGTGAGGCCTCATCTGGAGTACTGTGTCCAGTTTTGCGCCCCACACTACAAGAAGGCTGTGGAAAAATTGGAAAGAGTCCAGCGGAGGGCAACAAAAATGATTAAGGGGCTGGAGCACATGACTTATGAGGAGAGGCTGCGGGAACTGGGATTGTTTAGTCTGCAGAAGAGAAGACTGAGGGGGGATTTGATAGCTGCTTTCAACTACCTAAAAGGGGTTCCAAAGAGGATGGATCTAACCTGTTCTCAGTGGTAGCAGATGACAGAACAAGGAGTAATGGTCTCAAGTTGCAGTGGGGGAGGTCTAGGTTGGATATTAGGAAACACTATTTCACTAGGACAGTGGTGAAACACTGGAATGGGTTACCTAGGGAAGTGGTGGAATCTCCTTCCTTAGAGGTTTTTAAGGTCAGGCTTGAGAAAGCCCTGGCTGGGATGATTTAATTGCGAATTGGTCCTGCTTTGAGCAGGGGGTTGGACTAGATGACCTCCTGAGGTCCCTTCCAACCCTGATATTCTATGATTCTACACCATCATCTCATCTATGCATTGAGACCCTGCAGTTCTGCCTGTCTAACTGGGCCTGCGTGTGGAACTGGAAGCATTTCAGAGAATGCTACCATGGAGGTCTTGGACTTCAATCTCTTACCTAGCAGAATAAGATTTTGTTTTTCTAACAGCTGTGCTATAGCTCAGTCAGAGTGAATGTGTTTGATGCAGAAATCACTGCATGAGTGTCTCTGGCCTGCGTTAGGCAGGAAGTCAAACTAGATGATAATAGTCCCTTCACACCTTAAAAATCTATGAATCTGTAAATACACCTCTACCCCGATATAACGCTGTCCTCGGGAGCCAAAAAATCTTACCGTGTTATAGGTGAAACCGCATTATATCGAACTTGCTTTGATCCACTGGAGTGCGCAGCCCCGCCCCCCTGGAGCACTGCTTTACCGCGTTATATCAAAGTAGAGGTGTATGTGGCAGCCGGTGCTGGCAGCGTGGGTGAGATTTTCACACAGTGGATATAAAATGAATATGGGGGTGATTGATGCTCCCAATCCCACAGATGTCAGGAGCTGGACTAATTCCCCCTCCTTTTCTTGTGAATATGGCATCAGCTTCACCAAAGGAGGAGGCTGGATTTGCAGAGACCTACAGGCACTTGCACAAGGCCCGGGAATTGTCTCATGCAGTGGCTTTGCAGCATACCATGGTTTTGTTTAGGTCTGGAAATCAGGTTAGCCAGGTGGGCCTAGGAATGTTAGGATGCCCTGGATCTATGTACTGAAAGGGTGGGAAACTGGTGACAGCCTACAGCAGCAGTGGTCTTAAATCCTCACCTCTTTTCACTGCCACCAGGACAGGTTGCTTTTAGATCTTAGGTTCAATAAAGTTATAGAAACTTGGCCAAAAAAGATAATTCCTGTCCTCACTGGTGCCTATTATTTGCAATGCTTGTTATTTAAAAAATAAATGCATAAATAAAAGACTGTTTGCAGTAATAGTCAAGCAAATTGACAATTATTTGACTTACTGATTTACATATTTGAGGAAGCAGTATGGGAAATTTGCATTAATCTGCTTAGCTTCCATGATGGCACAATATCCTAAACCTGAGACATTTTAAATAAACTATTAGACTGAAGAGAAACATGCGTTTGTTTTTAAAACAATGCCCTATAATACTATGTTTTACATTGTACAGGTACTTTTACATTTTTTTTAAATCACCTAAACACTTTTATCTTTTATTTTAAGCTTATTCTCAGCCAGTGGATAACCATATCAGTCCAGCTGCCTACTTGGCACAATCTTTGCCACCATCATCACCAGGAAGATATTCCCCAATTCCCAAGGGAATGATTGGAGATGATGAGATAACCAGGTAAGGCGGGTTAATCCAAGTTTAGTTGATGAGTTCAGGTTAGTTAATCAGGAAAGTTAACATTTTATGTGTAAATGATCAAAATGTCAGTGTGTGATATTTCAAGAAATAAATGTAAATCTAAAAATATTTTTATACTAGTGAATATTTTCATAAGACCTATAAATTGTTTTGCTGATTTATTCTAGTTGTGCTTAGTAATACTGCTTTGGTTGTGTCCATACTGATTACATTCAGCCTAAAGTATACAAAGCCCCCCTCTCCAAAACTGGATCATATACTGTGCCCACTTAGTATGTGGTTTCCACTATGGAATTAAGATGGCACTGCTTTTAGTGTACCATTCACCCTGCTGCATTGCCAAGTCACGTAGTGAGCTGACTGAATTTCTCACTATATTGGCATTGGAAATACAGAGATTGATTATGTTGAATTTGCATGTAGATGATGAATTTTCTGAAGCAGCTCAAGATTTCATGGCCATCATGATGACTGTGGGCTTATCCCAGATAGGTACTGGCTCAACTCAGACAGCTGGCCACACTTAAGATTTGGGTTTTGGGTTGGAACTGGAGGCTCGATGGTTGGTTGGTTGATTGTATTACCATAGCACCTGGGCACTGGATAAACACAGAACAAAAAGACAGTCACTGTCCCTAGAAAGCTTACATTTGTCATAAAGTGATCATCCCTCCTGTGTTTGAGGTTGGGGTTCATCTGTCCTATCAGGGTGGGGGAGCTGTTCTAATGGTCTACTCTCAAAGATTAATGGACCCAAAAAGGTTCCAGAGTGCTCTGAGGGTGAATCTTGTTCCACCAACAGCGTTTTTCAAATGCGGCCACTGTGGCCACAAGCAGCTGCCAGGGGCTTTTCTTGCAGCCACAGCCTCCTAGGGAGGGGAAGCTGTGGCCCCCCCTGGGGTCACCTGGAGGGGTTGGGCCCTGCTCCCCTCTGGAGCCACAGACACCAGAGGAGCAGACAGCCAGTGTGAGTTCCCCACCTTCCCGGGGCTTTTGGGGCTCAAGCTTCTGGCTTCAGCCCTGCGGGGGGTAAGCGGCAGGCTCCAGGGTTTCAAGCGCAGCAGCAGACTCTGGGCTCACCACACCCTGATCACGCCCCGTCCCTGCTGCCTCCCTACCAACCTCCCCATCCAAGGCTTAATTTGTCACCCGGCTTGACAGGGCTTAGTAAGTCTACTGTGAAAAGTGATATTTGTATGTTTGTTAATATCACTTTTCACTGCCTCCCAGCTAGCTAGCAAGTCTGCTGCAGTGAAAAGTGATATTAACAAACATACAAATATCACTTTTTCACAGCAGCAGACTTACTAGCTAGCAAGGATAAAAAAAAACCGCAACCAAAAAAGCAAAAGAAAGAACAACAACAACAACAAAAGACAATAACATGCAAAGCACCTTATTTGTGTTTCTATTATGTTTAGGTCCAGTAAAGAATAGAAACAACTGTACATTGTTTTTATTATTGAGTCTGGGGGAAAAAACCCCGAGTAAAGCAATCAGTATGATTTGAGCATGTATATGTGCATATTAATTTGTTTTTCCTAAAGTTAGTTAAGTATGTTAGGAAAAATTGTCATAGCAGCCACCATCAAGAGTTGGTGGCCGCACTTTGAGGCCACCAAAAGATTTGTTGTGAGACCCCCTAACAGACCAATCCCTCAATAGTTTGGTAGAACATTATTGTACTTTTCTATCCTGCAGCTTTGAAGAAGTGGCCTGTAGATGCCCTCTTTGCCAACATCATTTTCACAGGTCACTCTGGTGTACAGATGATATGCAACAAATGAGGCAAGAAGGAAGAGGGCTAGAACACTGGTGGTGGAAATGTCGTGCAGAGGCTGATCAGCTGCACCATAAATATTTTTAAGTTTTATGTTGTGGCTGTGCAGAAGGCAAAGAAAAAGTTATTTTTCTCCAACATAGAAGCCGCAAAAGCTCAGGCAGCAGATTTGTTTCAGGTGGCAGGACTGGTAAATCCTGACTGTCTCAGCTCAGTTGAGTCCTTCCCACTTGTAATTCTGCAAACAAAATGGATCAGATTAAGAGCAGGAGGTCTGCTTCTGTGGTGGAAGAGCAAGGGCTTGAGAGAACAAGATCCTCATATTCGGTAAAAGAGTTTGTCACTGATATTTGCTGATGTATTGTTGGTGTTGAGAGACCTTCGTCACACAACCTGTGCTTTGAATCCAACCTTCTTGGCTGATGGTTAGTGGGGATGTACTGGGTCCCTTGCTTGTGGAGACTGGCAACTCTTGCTTTAAAAGGGGTAGGCTTCTTATTGCTTTGAAGGATGCATTAGTGTGGTATTTGCTTGAGAAGTCATTGCTTGATGGTAACAATCAAGCTAATTATCAACCTGTATCCCATCTTCCCTTGGGTAAGATTGTGGAGAAGATTGTAGCAAGACAACTCTCCCAGTATCCATGTGCCTTGGATCTTGTTGACCCTTGTCAATGGGGATATACACCTGGCTGTGGCCCAGAGACTGTGCTGGTTGAAGATCAGGTGTCCATGCTGGTGGTATAAAATCTATCAGCTGCCTTCAATACAGCTGAGCCCAAAGTTTTGCTGTCTCACTTGTGGACTCTGGCAGAAGTGGATGGGGCTGCTCTTTGATGGCTTGGTTCTTTTATTTCTGAGAGATCTCAGTGAGTAGTTATGGGCAATTGTTCCTCCTCCAAAAGTCCCCAGTTGTGGTGTTCCGGTGGTTGCCATTATACCTCCTGTTCAATGTATATGTGAGACCTTTAGGAGGGTTAGTAAGAAGGCATGGAGTGCGATGTTTTCAGTATGCTGATTAGAGCCAACTTGGATGATGTGGTTCAGCACGTTAAGCAGTGTCTAGCTGAAATTGGTGTGTGGGTGAGCGTGAAGTGGTTGAGGCTCAACCCAGACAAGACTGAAGTGATGGTGAGTTGGGGGAAGTAACTAGAAGAGTTGGCAGAGGTAATAATAGTCCCTTTGACTGAAGGAGTATGTCTGCTGTTAATTACTAAGGTTTTCAATTTAGAGGTGATAGACCCCCATCTGCTGTTTTTACAGGCATGTAACCAGTCAACTTTTTACCATCTGGCAAGAAGATTAAGACCCTTCCTTTTGGGTGCAGACCTTGCCACTGTTGTTCATGCATTTGTTACTACACGTTGGAGTTGTTGCAATGTGCTGTACATGGAGCTACATGTTGAAACTAGTTGGAGACCTAAGCTGGTGGAGAACGCAGCAACTTGCTTACTGACTGCAGATTGCTCCATTGACCTCTGGATGGAGTTTAAGGGGTTGGTTATGATCTGTAAAGGCCTAAATGGTCTGGAACTGGACTATCTGATGCCCTGCCCCACTCTAACTCGATCCTCCTGGTTATAAATCTACTAGAATTCTTTGAGGGGGTCAACAAGCATGTGGGCAAGGGGGATCAAGTGGATATAGTGTACTTAGATTTTCAGAAAGCCTCTCACAAGGTCTCTCACCAAAGGCTCTTAAGCAAAGTAAGCTGTCATGGGTTAAGAGGAAAGGTGCTCTCATGGATTGGTAACTGGTTAAAAAATAGGAAACAAAGGGTAGGAATAAATGGTCAGTTTTCAGAACGGAGAGAGGTAAATAGTGATGTTACCCAGAGGTCTGTACTGGGCCCAGTCCTATTCAATGTATTCATAAATGATCTGGAAAAAGGGGTAAACAGTGAGGTGGCAAAATGTACAGATAATACAAAACTACTGGAGATAGTTAAGTCCCAGGCAGACTGTGAAGAGCTACAAAAGGATCTCTCAAAACTGGGTGACTAAGCAACAAAATGGCAGATGAAATTCATTGTTGATAAATGCAAAGTAATGCACATTGGAAACCATAATCCCAATTATACATATAAAATGATGGGGTCTAAATTGCTGTTACCACTCAAGAAAGAGATCTTGGAGTCATTGTGGATAGTTCTCTGAAAATATCCACTCAATGTGCAGCGGCAGTCATAAAAGCAAACAGAATGTTGGAAATCATTAAGAAAAGGATAGATAATAAGACAGAAAATATCATATTGCCCCTATATAAATCCCTGTTACACCCACATCTTGAATACTGTGTGCAGCTGTGGTCGCCCCATCTCAAAAAAGAGAATTGGAAAAGATTCAGAAAAGGGCAACAAAAATGATTAGGGGTATGGAACAGTTTCCGTATGAGGAGAGATTAATAAGACTGGGACTTTTCATCTTGGAAAAGAGATGACTAAGGAGGAATATGATTGAGGTCTATAAAATCATGACTGGTGTGGAGAAAGTAAATAAGGATGTGTTATTTACTCCTTCTCATAACACAAAAACTAGGGGTCACCCCCAATGAAATTAATAAGCAGCAGGTTTAAAACAAACAAAAGGAAGTATTTTTTCACACAACGCACAGTCAATCTGTGGAACTCTTTGCCAGAGGATGTTGTGAAGGCCAAGGCTATAATGGTGTCCAAACAAGAACTAGATAAGTTCATGGAGGATAGGTCCATCAGTGGCTATTAGCCAGGATGGGCAGGGATGGTGTCCCTAGTCTCTGTTTGCCAGAAGCTGGGAATGGCCTACAGGGGATGGATCACTTGATGATTTCCTGTTCTGTTCATTCCCTCTGAAGCACCTGGCATTGGCATCTGTTGGAAGACAGGATTCTGGGCTAGATGGACCTTTGGTCTGACCCAGTATGGCCACTCTTATGTTCTTAAAAAGAAGGGATCTTGCTTCCTCCTTGTTTTCAAATAGCCTGAATTTGGTGACCTTCCAGGCACACTGCAAAAAACATCTGTGTAGTAGTGTTTGGAGAAGGCTTGGGTTGTGCTTCCTTGATAATGAAGGCGTTGGAAGGAGCTTTTATAGGTGGCTGGCTGAGCTTCTACTGAATTAATCATTTAATGCTGCTGATACTTACATTGTATTAATGTGTGTAAGGGCACTTAGAGCTTTAGATAGGTCTATTTGCTGTTTTAAAAATCGAAATAAATATAT